AACCTTCATAATTACTGTAAAATATATATTATACATTTACATTATTTTTTTTCACCACTTTACGAAGCGTAACAGGACGCACACTCTCTCTTGTTGTATAGGCCAAGAATAATTATTATTCGTTTGATGCGCAGCTCTTGTASCAGTATAGTATCCGTCAGACTTAATAGTTAATAATTTAATATTATATTAATAACGTGCTTAAAGATTATAGTAGCTATTAAAACTTCGAGTTTATAATTCTTGGGTAACGAACATGTGGAATCGTATTAAATCAAATATAAATAATATTTGAAATCATGCCTATAGGTAGTAGTTAAAACAAGAATAAAATATGTTTTAAATGTATGTTACAAATATTTATAATTTTACAGTAGAGTGATCAACAAAGTTTGCTTCTATAGTCTATAGTTCTGCAGACCTTTTTATTATTATGTACACTCATTTTGAATCTACTGCTGTGTATTACTTCTTGAATATTAAATTTGGTCGTAAGAACGAGTTTTCCTTGTTAACAGATATTAAGTGTATTACTTATTTGAACAAACAACAAATAAAATATATAAATAATGTCATTAAAAAAAATTATATTTTAAATTGAGATTGAATTGAATTTGGTTAGTACGATTCTACTGCAGTGTTTCTACTACATGCTCATTCCTAAGCTCTGTACATTATCATCTTTTTTTGACGTACCTTCTTTGAATTTCTTCATTTTATAATGTATATACTCCAAGAGTTAATAATTACTTTATATATTATATTCAGGTTTAATGCACAACTCTAACAAAATGGTTTAATAAACTTTTGTTTGAAGAATAAAAAAGTACTGTGCCAAACCCAGATTCATTTTATTTATAAAAATTATTTCCTCTCTTATCATCTTTTTTCTTTTGTGAAGGGCATAGTTCCTTTCTCGAGGCTATATTCATTACTTACTTACTTATACTCCCTCACTTCTACTCACTTAATTACTTACTTATTTATTTATTTATTTTGCTTTTTACATACGCACTTATTGGGTATATTATCATCTACGAAAAATCTCTATAGACAATTTACAGAAAATCGTATTACTGTACGATTATTGTTACATTTGTATTTTTACTGTGTCAATACAACTTTATTGTATGTAAATATATGTAAACGTAAACATGTTTAAAAGTTATATATAGGTATGTTAAGCACGCACAGTCGATGTAGCTTATAATATATGTCGTCGTTGTACACGACTGTCATTTTCTCCGATCCAAATGTCTTCTACGAATTTAAAAGAGAAAAAAAGGTCTTTAATAAATAAATCGCAAATAATAATAATACTATGTAGGTAGGTAAAAAAAAACTGACTGCAGTACGTGTGCGATGATAGAAATTGCGATTCACGCGTATACCGGGGCGATTTCAGTTTTATTTCAGCTCACGTGGAATAAATTAAATATATGAAGGGAAAAAGTGCGAAAATGCGTATTGCGATTTACGGTTAGGCAAGCATGAGGAAGACGTCGTCCAGCCGTCGGTGGGTCGGTTGTTAATATAGAAACTATATATATACAGAAAAAGGTCGTTGCCGTTGTATAGGTTTCCCCGTTTCCCCGTATGTGCAGACGGTTTTTTCCTTTCGTATTTCCTTCGTCCTCAAAAACTGCAGCACTGGTACAGGAGCATCGCGTGTTATATWATAATAATATGACGAGTTATTATACAAACGAGCACAACTGCAGC